GGGGAAAGGGGATACCTCCCAAAGCCATACCTAAACAGTGTGGGAATTTGGTGGGACAGTGGGTCTACCAGTGTGACAGACAGCATCTAACAAGAAAGAGACTTTTTTGTTCCATATATCTCAGAGAGTTAGAAGGCACCATCTTGAGAGAGGGTCTACTGTTTGAGACTGTGCCATCCATGGGGCTTAAAAACAAGGGACAATCATGAATCAGGGAGTCTTGGGACACTGGCCAGCATCTGGGAGGAAGATGGCCACAAGATAGTCTTGGAGAGGGAGAGTGTCTGATATGGGTGAGCTGAGAAGTTTAAGCAGCAAGCAGCTGGGGCAGTGAAGGGCCTGGTTGCCCTGCCCTCCCTGGCAAGAGCAAACTGCACTGCTTGAGGATCATTACAAAAACAGAACACAGAGCCTATGGCTCTGAGCCTCAGGTTTGAGAGGCTGGCTGCGGGGTGGTGGGGGTGGGGTGGTTGCTGCTGGTTGAGGGGGTTGAGATTGAGCTACTTTGGGACTTGAAAACTAGACACAATTGCAGCTCAAGGAGTCTTGGGATACTGGGCAGTAGTGTCTGTGAACTAGACACAATTGCAGCTCAAGGAGTCTTGGGATACTGGGCAGTAGTGTCTGTGAGGGAGACAGCCATGAGAGGCAATCATGGAGAGGGAGATTATCATGTTGAGCAGATAAGCCAAGCTCAGAAAGACAAAGAGTGCATGTTTTCACTCATATGTGCAATCTAAACCTAAAAAAAAAAAAAATGACATGATTACAAAGGTGGATTGTTTGAAGAGACAACCAGTGGGGGAAAGGAGGAAAGCAAAGAGTGATGGGGGGGTATGATTGAAGTACATTATATACATATGAAAACAGCATATTGAAACCCACTGAGTTTTCACGGTTGAGGGAGGTGGATTAAAAGAGAGTAATTGAAGGGGTAAATTTGATCAAAGTACACTATATGAATGTATGTATCACAATGAAATCACTTTATTCAATTAATTTATGCTAATAAAAATAAATACATGGAAAATAAAGCTTCCTTTCTGATGAAACAGGTATAATTCACTTCTCTGTACTAAACTTTGAAGGGTTTAAGAATTTTTAAAAATAACATTATGAAAGGAAATAAAGTAGGATGGAAAGGTTTTTGTTCTGTTAGAGATACTCATGTAGCAAATGATGTGAAGAAATAAAAAATACACTGAAACAAAAACACAATTTAGTATAAAATAATGAAATGTATAAATTAAAACTAGGGAGAATTCTCAGCCAACCAGTACAACTATGACAATCAAGTCATACTGTATGCTTTTTTTCTGTTTTTGATTACTGCTGCTAGTTGCTAAAACCATTAAAAGAAGGCTGATGGGGAACTTTGTAATAGATAAATCAGGGTCACGAAAACTGAAAGCTGGCTGATCCATCTTAGTATCACTAAATGTGGGACAGCCAAACATGACACTTCTGATGTGATGTAGCAGAAAGTATGTGAAACTAATTGTGAAGTATTTTTGCCAAAAGACAAAACACAGAATAACCTGAATTTAATTAAGTATAAACCGAACTGATATGAGTCTTCTGTGAATGAGAACGGCTGCAGATGTTAATACAGAAAATAATCCTTAGCTGTTAGAAGTATATACTAAAGTATTAATGACAAGTAACAAACTACCTGAGATTTGCCTTAAAATTCTCCAGCAGAAGGTTTGGGTAGAGTGTGTGTGTGCATCTGTACTCTCGTGTGTACTGATGAAACAAGCCTGGTAAAATGTTAATTGTCTATGATGAATACACAGGGATTCCTTAAAATCCACTTTCCACTTCTACATGTGTGAAATTTTATAGAATGAAAGATTAAAAATGGCTTATTTTCCCGGCTTTGTACTAGTTATACACAGTATCTGACCATTCATTTGGGTATTAACTCAAACATAACACTACACTCCAAAGCAAAACAATTATTCTCATCTAGGGAAAGACTTCAAAATTTAAGAAAGTAGTTACTTTTTCTGCTTTAGAGAATCTTAAGAGGGGCTGTCCAGATGAGCATCATCTTTCTTCTACATACGTTAGAAACCTCAAAGTTCCTGCTACAGAAAGACGCTATTCCACACCAGGCAGGGTCTTCTCCCATCCAATCTCACTTTTCTCAGATTGGCTTTTTACACAGTACAACGTAATGTCTGTGAGTGCCAACCCATCACTTTAGTTTAGTAAGATAAATAACCCCAAGAATTCTTAAAGTGACTATCTCACTGATAAGATTTGTGTCCCTTTAAGGGAACAGAATATCACCTATGTAATTTACATTACAACAGTGTAAAATGTGGTTTACATTAGGCACTTTTTATAACCAGCCTGGTTTCTGAGACTTTCTTCCCATTAAATTTAGATTTTTCCCTCATGGTAATACGGAAAACCCAAAATGTGGAAGAAATACAAATAATGCTCAGCATTTGATGACATCTATACTTGTACCTTTTATCTTAAGTAAATAAAAGTCAAAATGTGATATGCAGCCAACATCAAGGGTCTCAAATATTAAACAGGAATTAAGACTCAGATTATAATGCACTATTGAAATACTAACTGAGGAATAATGGTCAACTCTTTTATAATATTTTCATGAATTCTTTATTTTTGTGTTTTGACAATAGAGAAATATACTTTATTCTTTACTTAAAATGTATAGCAATTACTTAAAAATATTTGCATAAAGGACATAAATGTTTAGGAAAACAATCTTAGCAATAAGTCCCAGAAACATACAAATAATAACTTGCTTCAGTTGAAATCATTGTTGCTTCTTCAGAGCAATAACAGCATAACATCTAGGAGACTTCACAGGATCAAACAACTTCACAAGTGCAGACCATGCAATATCTTCCTGCAAATTGATAAGTAATTCAGATAAACAACCACCTCTGTTTTTATTTAATATTTGATTCTTTGAGAATTGGCCCAAACAATGTATGTACATATGAATAAATGAAAAAAAAACTTTTGGAGAAATAAAAAAAATTATAAAAGAAACAAATTATATGTAAAACTGAATATATTATTTTAGTGTAATTTTAATTGAATATTAATAATATGCACAAATACAGACACAAAATACACATTTTTGAGAGCATCCTTAGAAAATAATTACATATCCCACAGTTAATGTTGAAAGGGGTTATTTTCTTTTTTATATATTTGCATGTTTCAGATTTTCTAATACACACATGTATTAGTTTTATAGGATATTAAAATTAATAATCATATACTTTCTATCATTTTATTAGAACCTGTTAATCTTTGCTTATACTATTTTCCCTAACTATCACACACAGGTCAATGGAAACTGTTCTGAAAAGGGAAATGAGGTACTGATTCTGTCACTTATCAACTTGGGAATCAATGTTTTCTGGTAATTTGGGGTTAGCTGGCCACTTAGGAAAGTTTATCATTATTAAAACTCCTAAACAATACAAATTAGGACAAAGCCACATTTATTAAAATCCATTTGTTTCAAGAAGCCTGCTGAAAAGAAAAAGTGGCCCATATGATAAACTTGTTAAAATAAAGGGTTTATAGTGGAAACTTTAGGCAGAGTATCTTTATGTCTGGTTTTTATTAATTCTGGTTATAAAGTACATGGTGGCTTGTGTTCACTGCTTACATGTAGTAATTATCATATAATTTAAGAAGATAAACTTTATTAAATCAGTTTACTGAAGACATCAACTGGACATGTTTATATGTTAAAAGAGTAGAAAGAATGAATATTTAAAGTAAGAATACATGACAAAAATTATCTCACTAGTTTTATGTAAAATAACTTTATCCCAGCTATGAGTGGACTCACATTAATGCAGTTAATAAATATATTTATTTTGCATTAAAAAATAACATAATTTACCTGCTCTTTCAGGTAGCAAAGTCGATCCAGGAGAATCAGTGTTTCTATGCATGGAGCAAGAACAACTTTCAGCTGAAAGAAAGAATAGATAGGATAGTTGTACTTAAGAAGAAAGAGATTTGTTTATTTCCTTGACATTTATGTATTAACTGCAAACATAACACTACAGAAAGGGAGGGGGAGGGGAGGAAGTTGCTTAAACAATGTATATACATATAAGTAAATGCAAAAACGATAAAATAAAATAAGAAAGTGTACCTATAGAATTTACATAGGCCAAATCTCTAATGCCCTTTGTATATTTTCAGAAAATAAATACTGCACAGATCAAAAGTTTTTCTTTAATAATAGGAAAAGAATGTTAAGTGACTTTGAGGTAGAATCCAGCAAGCAATCATATGTGATAGAAAGCTTTTAAAGGAGTACTAAGAATGAAATTCATTAAAAAGAATGCTCGTGAAATAACTGCATCAAGACCAATATGTGTTCAAAGGGCTCTGAAACTTCTTTCCATTTATAATACACTTTAAATCTACCATGTGCTCTCTTTATTACATTACTGACACCCAATATAGTCCTGAAATAGGAAATGATCCAAAAGCAGTTTTTCTACAGAAAAAGAAAACAACACAGATTGGTTGGCTCATAATAAAACTCAGTAGAATGGTATTCAAGTTTAGCAACATTTCCAATTCAACATGTTCAAAGCTAAGATTTACCATATTAAATGCTTCCAGTTCATTCATTCTCGGCTTATACTTCTCATAGTATTCCATTATATTTTTTTCTGATAGCTTCAAAATAAAAACAGTAACAATAAATTTATCAGCAGTCAAAAATAGCTAGATAGAATTTTTTTCTATATGAAACACATTCCTAAACATATTATCAATTTTGAGATGACCTTAGATGTCTAAAGAGCTCTCTTTATAGAAATGAACCTAAGTAAATCTTCTGCATTGACATAGGTTAATATATCATAAATAAAATTACTAATGTCTTCTTAATATTGTTTCATTTCAGTAAGTTGTGATAAAATATTTACTTTCACTTATAACAGAAATCTAATAAGCATTTTTGAATAAGTTAAAATTTAAGATGCTATACGTAAACCTATATCCTAGAGAAAGATTCAAAGGTAACAGGAACACAGTAAGTCTCATATATTTATATTGGAGGTAATTTTCTGTAATATACACTTACAAATCCATCAATAAGCAGTCCTTCCCATTTATCCTCTAACCTATATCCACAGTATGTTAGTCCTTGTACTTAGGAAGCTACTTTCCAGTTGACTTACATGTTTCTGCACTCACCAGTTAAGCTTTATGATTATTGAATCATTTCTAAATCTAAACTTTTTAATGACATTTACTTTGTTGTATAAGTATTACATAATCAGTGAAATATGAATTAAAAAAGAAAATACATTTATATTAAGTTGAATGCTTTTGCAATGGGCCTAACAATTTCTTTTCATCAGAAGAATTGCTGTGAAAATACAAAGAAAGACTAGATAAACTGAAAAACCTGAAAAGATTTGTCAGATTTTCTTGCCAATGTCTAAATGAATTTTTTTCAAAACCATTGTTCTTTATCTTATTGCACTTAGCTTCTTCTGAATTTAAAGTAGAAAGATTTTTTAACGTGGTTTCTTGGATTCTCTTTATGCTGTTTCTCTTTTGTAATAAACTAGGAAGAACAGTCTGGTTGTTAGTTGCCTTTGTTCCAAACTTGCTGGTTTTGCATCTCAGGAGATCACTTCAGAGAATGATGCTTGGTTGGTTTTGTCTGAGTTCTGTGACCCTGGGCATTTCCTCTTGGCCTTGTTCTGAATCCTCTTTTATGCTCATTGTACTTCATGACACATATAGTTTGAGATTTAAAATGCCCTTTGGTTTTGTTAAGGAGGGTGCCTGTTTTCTGTTTCTCATTCTATATGTTGCTCTTGAGTCTTTCTTTTTTTTTTTTTTTTGGTGGGACTTGGGTTTGAACTCAGTGCTTTATGCTTGCAAAGCAGGTGCCTTACTGCATGAGTCACACCTCCAGCCATTTTGCTTTGGTTATTTTGAAGACAGGATTCACTGTCTGTTTGCCCTAGCTGGCTTTGAACTGTAGTCCTCCTGGTCTCAAACTCCCAAGTAACTAGAATTACGGGCATAAGCCACTGGTGTCTGTATTGCTGTTAAGTAATTCTTGAAAAAAAGGTTATGATATTTACTGTCCTATTTAAAAAGATAAGACTGTTGCTTTACTTTAAGCGAATCAATGCTAGATAGATTATGTATTATATGCATATTTGATGCAAAAACGTAAATGTAGAGCTTTAAGCAGTGATATCCTCTGCTAACCACTGGACTAAAACCAAAACAAAACAAAGCCAAAATGGCCCTGTTTTTACACCAAAAGAATGGTTAATAAAAAGTATATTCATATGTTTTTTTGAGAAACAGTGCTTATGGTATAAGTCAATGCTTTAGTGAACTTTGCTTCTTTTTCCTTCTTTTTGTTGTTTTGAGACAGGCTCTTGCTATGTAGTCTAGGCTGGTCCCAAACTCACAATCCTGTCTCCTCCTCCCCAGTGCTGGATTTTCAATCTGAACTCTTGGCCTTAACTAACTTTTTCAATCAAATATTCAAAAACCCATTTCATCAGATTAGATCATAGAAATTTTAAGGAAAAATTCAAAATTAAGATACAATCTCATTTAATCCAAACATCAATCTTTAAGATACACATATTTGTGATCTCATTTTATATACAGCATTATTAAGAGTTAAAACTAGTAAGAGCCTAGGAAGGGTCAACTTCCTGGTGATAGAAGAATGTATCAGAATTGAGGCAAATCCAGTATAGGTCAAATTTAGGCAAGCACACGAAAGTTTACAAATTGAAAGTATACACTGAATGGGTGGAGCACTGGACATGAATGGTGTTGTTTTCCAGTACCTACATTCTAGAGAAAGGGACTAGTATGAGTTAGGTTGTATACAAGGCCCCTAACTTAGTGGGCTGTGGGTCAGTGTCAGGAAGATAACCAGTCCTAAAGAGAAATTGGAGAGGGAACAGCAAACCATACTCAGGCATTTTAGTTCATGCACCGCTGTCCCTTTAATATGCTGAGTTACTTTGGCTCTAACAGTCTGTGCTAGACAATGTATGTCTTATTACTCAACATGTTGACAAATGTCATCCTGTGTGCAACAATTTCAATATTCAAAGTTTTAAATATAAGCATCTTTTTTCAAACTTCTGTTTCATCATTTCTTCAATTTCTCCAGCCTTTATTTGAAGCCTTAATTCTTTAATTTGCTTTAGAAGTACATTTATTTTGTCTATTATCAAGCATGGAGTTTCTCTTTATTCTTTCTCTTGGGCTTGTTTGTTTGATGACTGCTAGTTTTAGAAAAACTTGAAATTTATGGGTAATAAGATAAAGGTTTATTATAAAAAAAGAAAATATATAATGTTCTCATCTATACCTATTCAATTGCTAGTGGAAAAAAATAAACTTTCAACTACCATTTGAAAAATAAAACTTATATACAAAATACTGTATTTAGCTTATATTCACCTCCAAATGAGTACTGGAACATCATATAATTATTACATATTTCATTTCAGTTAAATAAGTCATTTGTAGATTCTGTATATTTTAATAATTCTAAACTACTATGATATTTAGTGTTTTCTCCTATATTAGCAGCAGTATTAAGACAGTTAAATAGCTATTTTTTTATTATTAAATAAAAAATAAATAAAAGGTATAATGTCTTTTCCTTTTATTTGTTCCTGTTTTGTCAATGATAATATCTTCTACTACTTCCTAGAGGTACTGGGTGCCATGGAGACATTTGTGTACCTAATGTTTCTCTCTGGTTAGTTGAAAGAGTAAAGATGATTTTTAAAGGCAATGTGGCTGTTCTTACTTAGAGTTGGACTTAGGTGAGATTTTTCTACTGCTTAATAGGAATCTTCTCTGCTCTTCTGCACATTTGCCATTAAATGTTATTAAGCTTAGGCTTTGCATTCAGATTTGGCATATTGTTTTTGATCACAGTTTGAAAGAAGTGTAATTGTTAACTCATTTCTTCACATTAATTGCTCCAAATATATATAATACTAAGGTACAGGAAACTTTATCATTAATGATATGCTTATTTTCAAGAAAAGTTTGAGGTGGCTTATAATATGAAGCATAAAAGTATATCAACAGCAGGGACATTAAAGAAAAAGTACATCCCCAAGCATAAGTAGTTAAAGGAGAAGAACATGATACCAAAGTAACTTAGATAAGGGGCAGTTGTGGGAATCAAGCATACATTTAACACTGAGCTTCCTAATAGCTAAGGCAAAAAAGAAAGAAGGGTGTTCTTTGGAGTAGATCATTACCATCAAGAAAAAGTGAACAGAAATTTATGTAAATTATCATGTAGCAAAATAACACAAAACTTTCTAATTGAATGCCCAGGAGTATCTTTGAACCAAACAGATGAACACTCTAAATGCTTCCAAATCCTAAGCCCCATTTTAATGGCCATTTGCCCAAACACTGCTTGAGGAAAGGGTCACAGGCTATTAGTTAAGCGGAGGTCACCCCAAAGCTACACATGTGGTGAACACACATAAGACTGCTGTTGTATTGATTGATTGTATTGTGTTAAAATATGGAAAACTGTTGTAATAAGAATTATTAGCTAGTGTGTGTTAGGACTAAGAAACCAAGCCAGAGAATGACAGGCTGATATGCAAATAAGCCAACCCTAAGGTGGGGAGACTGATAACATTAACTATGAGGCCACTACCAAGCATAAAAACCCAAGCCTTGCTATCACTCATCGCTCTTCTCCTGAATGCTGGAGACCACGCTGTCGGAGCCCGTCCTGAAGCTCTGACACAGAGGCAGCCACCGCTTGAGAGTGTACCCCTTCTCCTGATGACCGGGTGTCGCTGGCGAACTGTGAGATTGATCTGCAACTAAGATTGACTGTAAGGATTCGGCTAAGAAAACGCTGCATGGTGAGTGAGGCTTGGGGAAGGCCTGAGTAAATTCCTGGCTGGCTGGGGTAAAAGAGGACAGGACACTAGGATCCATGTGAGAGTGTTGTGTGGATTTGTTGAATAAAATCCTATTCTCTGAAGTAAGAGTCTCCCGTATTCGATTGGTATTGAACCGTAAGTGCTCGCGACAACACACATCTCTTCTACTTCTCTCAGCTTACTACACTGAAGGTTTTTTTACATCACTATTTTTTATTAGGTACAAGGAAGGAAAAACTGTGATAATACCACAGATGTACAGTATAATTTGAAAAAGTTCACCACCTCTATTAGATTTCCTTAACCTTCCTCCTTCCTCACCCTCACCCCCTTTTCATATGGTGTTTGGCGAGTTTCATTATGCTGTCTTCACACATATGAGTAACTTATTTGATCTTCTTTGTCTCCTCCTTCCTCCCTCCCCCCTCCATGGACCCCTTTCCCCTGATAATCCCCCCTTTTGCATTTAGGGTTCTTGTGGCATATAACAGGGCTGCTGTTAGCTCACAAGGAAAAAAAATCCCCCAATTTCCCTATGAGTGATGCAGTTTGGGCCAATGCACTTGTCTTAGCAAGAACGTGGGCTAGAATTTTAGCTCTCATTTGTGCCAACAGCTAGATGCCCTTGTGCAGAGCAAACAAAGTATAACCCTATGTGGTACTCCTATTGATGAAAGGCATGGAAAAAAAATCTATCAAAATAGTTATAAAAGAGACTAATGAGTTAATTAGATGTTATTCTGTAATTAGAATGGGAAGAAGGTAACTAAAAGTGATGTAT